CCTTGATTGCAAAAGTCAAACAGCTTTTATTGAAAAATATAATTGAACAGAATTCATTTTCCTTGAACTTTTATCTCACCCTCCGGAAATATCCCCACATTTATGTCTGCACTTTTTTCATCGTCTAAGAGAAGATCTCTACAACCATAACACAAAGTTATCAATTTAACCCACTCTCTATTACCGAAGTGTTGATTAAGTGTGAAATTCTCACTATTTTGAGGATACGCTATTCTGGGGCTTCAAATCTAAGGCCTTCAAAGTTTTCTTCTTTGGAAGCACACTCATCTCTCAACCTATTTTAATAAAAGCCTAGAAATATGTATTAATCATGTTTTTTATTCTCTGCATTTTATGTTGCTTTGTTATCTGAGGCCTTGTGGACCAGGAGTGGAACTGTCCATCCCAGGGTGGGCTAGGATGTAGAGATAGCAAACAACGTGTTGAGAGCAGGACTTTGATATGCAAACCAACCAATCTGCCTCGTTTTTCCAGGCTCCTGCAGTCCAGGACACTATGCTCTGCCTTCAATCAAATCTCGGCCAGGTATTAGACACCTAGGGACAATCCCTATAGCCCAGAGCCCACTGAAATCTTTCAAACTATCCAATCCTAAGCTTGTTCAGCTTGCCTACGCTGCCTTGCCCATTTCCTCACACAAAAACCATAATAAAGGTTCCAGTCCACGCTCTCCCCATTTTGCTCCTTCTGCCTCCTGACTGACCCCCAGGGCTTCTCCCACGAGGCCCTGCATGGTATGGAGTGCTCCTTTTTCTTGAGAACTATGAGTAACAACCAACTTTTCAATGACAATTGTCTCCTGATGTGTTGGCCACGTCATACCTCCTCATAATGACAAAATCTTGGATCATTGAAATTTCCGAAAGCTTAAGAAAATTAGAAGGTCAGTATAATATACACAGGATGAATAAGATATATTTGAAAGTAACACTGCATCTCTGGAATAATGCAATGGCTTACAGGTTTAATCAGTGAGGTCACAGTGTATACCAAACAAGCATCTGGGTGTGAACTACAACCATAAAACAATAAAACAGCTTGGTTATCTTCAGGATAGTCCATGGTTTGTAAATAGTCTTTCAAAATGTACCCCCCGAAAATAAATAAATAAATGATGGAGTCGATCAATAAGTATTTACTTTGGAAGTACTGTGCTTCATAATTAAGACAAGTATAGTAACTGCAAATTCTGGATTGATAACATAAGGAGATGGTAATTGTTACAGTGGGTATAAAATGTGAGTCATATGTTCTAATATAAGGATAATCAGAACATTTGCTGATTTAGTACTTTCTATCAGCACTCCACTGTCTCTACTACCACTGTGAGCATCTTTTTGCTTGGGCTCATTGAGTCGATTAAGAATGGTTAACATATTCAAACAACGACAACAAAAAAGGAAAGGCAAAAGGCATATCTTTCTCAGGGAATTTCCATATGTGGTAACACAAATATGTTGTTATGCTCACCATCCAGCAGGGGCATCTGTGAGCACATGCAGATTCAGCACTGGGACACACAAAGGTGCCTCAAGACTTATGAATTAATTGAGGAAGAATGAAAGACAGTAGGCTTTGTTTGTAATTCAGCAAATCAACTGAGCCTGAATAAGACTGAGGATGGCAAGATTATACAAGAGTCATATGTAATAAAAATTTTTTAATTTCCTATAAATGAATTATTAATTGGCCATCAATAAACCCTAGGAAAGGTACTGTAGTATTCACTGTTTAAGCCACAGACTACAAATAACTACATAGACTAATTCCTCAAAGCACTGCTTCTTCTTCTTTAGGAGACACTTGAATATTTATAATCCCTGACTGATGGATACTTCGAAGAAAGCATACCTCAAGAAAGCATCAGAGGTAATATTCCAGATTCTTGCTCATGAAGGGTTATAGGAGAATTATGAAAAAGACAAGAAACCACTATGTATAGTAATTGGCAATATGCAAAATGGAACAAGGAAATCAGGATCAACATTCTCATTTAGGATGGGAATTTTAAAAAGTGAATCTAAGTATGGTTTATATAATTTATAATGTCTCCCAACCTCTAAGCATGCATTTTATGCTTTAGTAAATAATATTTATATAAACTTCTGAGTGGGTTGTTTCTGATTTGTTCTATGGCCCAAAGGAGTGTTACTCACTTAGATTTTTATAAAGAAACTTTGATCCTAAAAACTGAAGGGTGATAGAACAGGCCACCCCCAAAACTGCCACCTGGCATAAGGATTATTTTGAACTAAAGGCCTCTTTTTGTTCAACCAGGTATAAAAGCATTTGAGTTTTGCCACTTGGGTCTTCATTTCCTTATGAGGGCTCTCATGTCATGTAAACCATATTAAAGAAATTTCTTGCTGTTAATTTGTCTTACATCAATTTAATTCTCAGGCCCAGTAGGAAACTCTAAGAAGGTAGAGATAAAACTTTGCCTCCACTACAAAAAAGCAAATCACTTCAATAAATACATGAAGACTAAGTTAGATCCAAAGATTGTATTAGATCTAAATGGACAAACTTTTTTAAAAAAAAATATTTAGGCTAAACCAGCCATTCAACCCTAACTTTAAAATTCTATAGTTGCTAATAAGCTTATAATCAGTACTAAGCCAAATACCAATTCAGTTATAATGCATATTGAAAGATCAGGGATGGCTCTTGCCAAATCTTAATTTAGTATACATTTATTAAACTCTCTTTAAATTCTTAACAAAGCATTCAATATTTTAGTATATTTCAATATGTGTTGAGCAGCAGTCTCAAAGCAGATAGAGTTAAGAATAGCAACAGCCTAACACAATAATTTCATTAAACTGCATTTGTATTTTAAGGGTACATCAATTAAATATGATAAGAAAGGGTTCGTGAGGCCTGTACCCAAGAGTCACTATAGTTGTTAATTTGAAGAGTTCAGCTTAAACTGCTTGGCCACATTTCCAGAAAGCATTTGGACACTTGCCAAAACTTTCAAGTATAGAGACGACATAGCTTCTTTACCACCTCTCCCATCTCAAAAGGAACAACAGAAAAACTAGTAAGTAATAACACTACACCTGAAGTTAGTCATATAAAGCTCTACTTACTGTTTCACAATCAAGGAATATTTCTATCCTTTGAGAATTAAATATGATTCAAGTTTATTACTATATAAGGCAAATATTTTAGCCACGGGGGAACTTTCTGGAGTGGCCTCCAATTTGCTTTCATGACATCATTACTACTTAATTCAAATGGTATGAGCTAGGATTCACTAGCAGCTCAAATACTCAAACCAAACATAGTTAATGATGATGTTCTCTAAACCTCTAAACCTTAAGTTAAAGCCAAGTTGTGTTTCTCAGTTTCCTTATATATTAGACTCCATCTCTGAAAACCTTACTTATAGGTTTTAATTAAGCCTTATTAGGTTAGACCTCATAAGTTTAGCTCTAACCTTGCTAATTGCTGGTGTGTACGTGCTGAATGGTACCTAACGTCTAGGGGTCCCTTCTGAGATCTTAAAGTTCTGCTTTCCTTGCTGGCAAAGTTCAAGTTTTGGATTTGGGCAAAAGTGCAAGAATATTCCATGTAGGCCAATATATACCAGAGTCCAATATAGACGATGTCTCCTTCCTGGCTGTATAGGTCTGTTCAAGGATGGAAAAAGAAGAGATATCCAGGACAAAAACTCTTAACCATGCTTTTGCTCTCCCAAGTCTCCAGTTGTCAGCATTTTTCCTTGAAGTTTAAAACCACAAATTTGCCACAAAATCTCTTATTTACCTGCAGTAGGACCCAATCATAAATAATAGCTAAGTATCATATTTTACATGAAGACTAAGGCAGTCAACAACCCTCCTAAACAGGGGTTTATAATTACCCTCATGGAAATCTACATCTAAATTGAAGATTCCTAGATAATGATTATCACATGGTAGATAAGGCAACCTTTAGAGTCCATGAATTTGACAAGAAGCAATACTACTGTTCATATGTGTTCTGTGAAATAGCAGGAAGTGTTTCGAAAGAAGACTCTGGCTTCAAAAGATGACTTTTCAAACGAACTTTTGGTTTTCTGTAACCAAAAAAAAAAAAAAAAAGCGGCGCCTAAGGCTGACTATCCCCTTTTCTTTGATAGATTGATGTACATAAATTTATTCTCATATCTGAGGCAGAGAAGTCTGTTCTTAAATAAAGGAATACATAGGTTATAATTCGTCTATATTTTATCAAATGTAATAAGCTGTGGATGAAAAGAGCACTACGTAGCGTACAGAGCTGTCCCCACCTATGCTGCAGCTGGGTGGCCACATCTTCTGTAAGCTTCAGCTGATGAGTCTAGGATGAAAGATCTCTCCTACCCTGCTCTATTGCTGCAGACTGGGCTTCCTATCACCGATAATGATTCCGAGAGTTAACATCTTTTTAAATGCCCACATCCCACCAACCACACCAGGCAAAGTTCAGGTTTTCATAAATTAGAGCAAGGAGCCTATGTACCCCCTTAAAGAGGGGTATTACACTCCCAAATGACAACTGAAAGCAAATGCTAGGAAAACAACATATGTAGGGTGTGGGCGGTGGAGGGGGCCAGGAACGGGGTGGGGATGGGGGGGGTGGCTAGGTGTTGCTTTAGGCAGGGAGGTAACAGCATGAAGTTTCAAGAGAAGCTTTCCCAAGCCTTCACCTGGGTGGCCGGACCTACGAATGAGAACATGATATACGAAGACGAGTTTCACTCACAAAGAGTCTCAGATCCCACTGGAGTCCACCCGACCACATCCCTTTCCAGTTCCCTATGGTGTGTTTCTTCTAAACGTTACACAGACAAGTTCAGGCTGAAGACAGAGAAAGAAAGTGAGCGAGAGGATCCTAGTGGTCCCTGGCTCTCGACGGTTGGGAAACTGAGTGGACACCCCCTTTCCGGAGGCCGCCTCCCGCCTGCCCGCCGCGGGGTCCCCACGTGTACGCGGCTCGGGCCCCCTGCTTACCCGCGATGTCCCACAGCTGCAGGCGCACCAGCGTCCTACTGTCCCAGTTGAGGACCTTGAGAGCGAAGTCCACCCCGATGGTGGCCCGGTAGTGCTGGGAGAAGAGCTGGTGGACGTAGCGCTTGATGATGCTGGTCTTGCCCACGCCGAGTTCGCCGATGACCAGCACCTTGAAGAGGTGCTCGCGGGTCTCGGGCACGGCGGCGGCGGCCGCCCCCCGGC